CGACAAATCACCGTCGAGCCATTGCGCACTCTACAACCAGAATGAGCAGCACCTCCCCTATTGACTGAGTGACCGAGTGACTGAGTGACTGAGTGACTTGTAGCTGCAGTGCTGCTGAATTGCAGAGCGCTCTAAAGCGAAGACTGAAAAGCGGAGCAGACCAACAAAAGCGAACCCACTCAACCCACTCAACGCTGCTCCCTTCAATGTCCACGGAACCGTGATTTTGACGTTGTTTTTCGGTTCTCGGCTTTGTCTCGCTCGGATGGTGTGAATAGCTTGTTGAGTGCAGGGTTTGTTGAAGAGCATTGGAAATAGCTCAAGTCGAGAGAGAGAGAGAGAGAGACCAAAAGACCGAAAGAGAGAGAACAACGTTGGCAGACAAAATAGGACGAAACAAAACCACGCTCACCAAACAAACTCTGGTGAAAGATAATCGGGACTGAATCAGATCACACGGCGGGTACAGTAGTGTGTGTGTGTGTGTGGAAGAGCCCGCAAAGAGGTGTTTGCGTTGTGCTTCATGTTGCGAGCACTCGATGCGAGAAAGGCGTTCGATCGTTTGGTTCGGATGTGACAAAGCGGCGGCGCACACGCCAAGTGGCATCAAACCTCGAGCTCGCACTATGCGACACTATGGCACTTCCCCATGCCCGGAACTCTGGTACATGGCGGATTGCCACCCGCACAGTCCTTGGTTGCGTTTGCGCTTCGTCGTCTGTGTTTTCCAAACTTGATTCACGCTGATTGATTCTTGCTCATAAAGTTCTTGTCACTTTAGCAGCACTGTACAAACACCGCAACGCTCAGATGCACCGAAATCGACGCAATTCTGCCCAATCCAACACGAAATTCAACAGCTTGACGCAAGAACACAGTGGCAAGTACTGCGGCCAAAGTAGAAAGCCCCCACAACGAAAAAGGGGTTTGTGGTCTTTGCGGAACAAGCTGGCAAACCGCGCCCGACTCTTGGTGGATATCAGCGGCGGGGAACACACGAGCGATTGATCGTCCCGTTCGGCCTGCACTGCACGTACATGCAAGAGTTGCTGCCGTTGGTGTTTTCCCCGTTGCACTGGTAGCCTGCGTCGCAAATGAGTGTGGTGCCGTCCATCCGACCGTTCTCGACGAACTCGGGGCAGTACTCGAGAACCTGTGGTGCAGTCGGGTGACAGTCGAGGGGCTGAGCAACGCAGACGAGACGAGCGGCCATCCCTCCTCTCCCCCCCCCACCTCCTCTCCCTCCACACTCATCAAATCACACACTCATACACACACACTCATCCGCATCGCAACCGCACAGCTGCGACACCAAACAAACATACCGGCGCGCACAGGGGACAGAGCCCGCTGTACTCATCCGACGGCCGGCGCTCCGAGCCCTCGCAGCAAGGGTTGGTAATGTTCACGCAGTGCGTGCAGTAGAGTGTGTACTGCTCGATGCCGTGGGGACTGTGTGCCTTGTACACGCACGAGGTATAGCCAGCGGGGCACGGGTCGACGCTGTCGGCGCAGGTCGTCAGAGCCACATTGTAGAAGCTGATCGGGCTGCTCATCCGCGCATTGAAGCCGGCAGTCGCCACGCACGTGTCAGCGCTGCCACGACCCGCGGCTGCCAGAAGAAGCGCGGCGGTGAAGACGAGCGACCACATCCAAGAAACAGGAAAAAGCACAAACGAAGAACGGGAGAGAAGGAAAGGGAAGGAAAGGGAAGAAAAAAGAGAAATAAACAGCGTTGTGTTTGTTCTGAGTGTTTTGATTGTTTTTGACATTGGGAAAAAAGCCCTCCTGCTGCTGCACCACCAGCACGATACCCCACTTTGCTCGCCTCGACTCTTTTGAAATCCGTGGTTGGTATGTAGTCATTCGGCGATGAGCAAAAGTGGACCTTTCGCACGAGATTTTCAATCAAAACAGTCAACTCCTGCTTTGAGCCTCTGACCGGCTTTGATCCGCTCGAATGCTTGTAATGAAAATACAGCCAGTCGCTTCGAGCGATGCAGGATCAAGCGCAGGCGAAAATAAGGCGAACGAGTCTCATCGTCCGAGGACTTTGGTCATTCCAGGCCGCCGTTCCGGTTCAAGCGAATTTCAGCACCCACACCGCAAAGCTTTGAGTCTTCTGAAGCAGTTGTTCAACACGAACAGCTGCCCCTTGTCAAAGAGCCGCGACGGACTTCGAGCATGGACGAGAATCGCGTAGATTTGATAACCGTGCCTGTTTGTCGCATGATTGCTCTGATCTGACTGCGCATTCACAGCTGCCGCCTTGCTATCTGTCTTCTCGGGTCGTCGTATGCATGTTTGTGCTTGCGGCGGTGGTTTGGCGGCCTCTCGTCATCGATTTTGCGATTTCAAAATTCTCGCGGCAAAAGTTCACTTTTCGGAAAATTATAAACCAGCAACCAAAAAAACGCAAAAGTGCCGCCTCCGACTGACTCGGAGTGAAGCAACCGAGTTCCACCAACGAAACTGCAGCAGCTTGGCGCGCGATCCACTACTCACTAAAACGATCCAGAAATCGTCACAAGATCAGCAGCACCTCAACAGGCATTTCACAAATCTCGCGTGCGATTTTCAAACCGGTTCTCCAACTTACCACTGCACGATGTCGTCCTCTCCTTGGTAAAAAACACTCAACAGTAATATTTCCAGTCTTTTCCATCCATCGGGACGGCGACAAGTGGACTTGGCTGATCGCTGTCCATCTCGAACTTGACGCATTTGACTGCGACGTTGATCACTCTGACACCTGGAAACGCGCGCATCTCCCCGCGTCTTCCATTTACAACGATACCAAAGTACGGTACTGATCATCCTATTCAACCGGAACGGTCATTCTACCAGTCGTTCTTGCAGGAGTAACTTTTGCAAAGTGCTTCTCAGTCGCGCGAACCAAGCCTCAGCAATGCTCCGCTTTGCCAGCGCCGTGGGTCACGGGCGACCACCACTGCCACGGATCCCGAGCAATGGCCTTGCGACTCGCACATCTACGCCAGCCGCCAGCGGCGCCCGGGCGTGTGGAGCGCTGCACGCTGAGCCTGCACACCGATGCGAATCCGCCTTCGCCAAGACAGCTCAAGCTCAGCGCCCAGCCAGCCGCCGATGGCTGCACACATCTGCTGCCATGACTGCATCACTACTCAGCCACACCGGCACAAGCGCCCGGGCGCACACTGCAGGCCAGGTCCCCATCCCGCTGCGATGCGGCTCCACTCAAGCCCCACCCTCGACGACGGCACCCTTCCCGCTGACCTCAACCCCGATACGACCTGCTACAACATCCAGTACTAGCAGCACCAGTAATCCTGGCTCGCTGGGAGTCATGCAAGTTTACAACACCATCAAGAGCCGGTACTCGCAACCAGACCAGATTGTCCTCTTCCAGTTTGGCAAGTTCTTCGAGCTCTACGGACAGGACGCCGAGACAGGAGCATCGACGCTCAACATACAGCTCACGTCCAAAGACGGCCTCAAGTTTGCAGGATTCCCGGCGGCAAACTCGCTCAATCGGATTGCCCAGCTCGTCAAGGCTGGATTCACTGTGGTTGAGGTCTGTGAGATTGAAGGCTTGGAGCAAGGGGGTCTCAGATACCGGGCAGTCACGCGGATTATCAGTCGCGGTAACCAGATCGATCTCATCGACAGCGATGCTGAAAACAACGTCGTGTACTTGCACGGAGCGTCGTCGTCGACATCCCATCGAATCGGCGTTGTCTGGAGCGATCTGTCCACCGCCGAGCTCTACGCCGGAAGCATTTCGCCAAGCAGGCTGCCCGAGCTACTATCGTCGCTTCGGCCGGTTGAGCTCGTTGTCGAGAGCGCAGCGTTGAAAGATCTGGTTCGCCAGGTCTACGGAGACCAG